AGGGGACCAGAGGCCGGGACCTGCTGTGGGGGTCCAGCTGAGCCAGCAGCAGAGCTCCCAGAGCACCAGTGGGCTCCGGCAGGGAGGAGCGGGGAGACCTGGTGATGGGATCACAGGCTGCCATAGCGGGGCTGGTGGACTAGGAGCCCAGCATGGCAGTAGGCTGTTGGCGGCGCAGTCGGATGGTGTCAGGGTGGGAGCCAGTGGCCGTCAGGACGTGCCGGCCTGGTGGGCCAGGAATGATCTCCCCTTGTCTGGCAAAATCCCTAGTTTGGGACCAGTCAGGGTGCTGGGACAGGGAGGTCCAACCTGTAGCTATTATGTGGCTCAACCTCTGCCCTCACAGGCAGGAACACAGAAGCTGGCATCATACTTGACACATGAGATGATCACATAGACTCTTTCTTGTAACGAGACATGCCCATAGCATGGAGGCTGGCCACAAAGGTGGCTGGCCTGTAAACAGTAACACCTAGGGGTATGTCTGCACTGCATCCCTAGTTCGGACTAGGGATGCAAATGGAGACGACCGAAGTAGTTAATGAAGCGGGGATTTAAATATCCCGCGCTTCATTAACATGATCTCGCCGGCGCGCTAGTTCGAATCACAGCTGATTTGAACCAGGAAGTGCGCGCCGGGACGCGTTAGTTCGGACTAAAGCCCTTAGTCCGAACTAAAGTTACTCCTCAAAAAATGAGGGCTAAGGGCTTTAGTCTGAACTAACGCGTCCCGGCGCGCATTTCCTGGTTCGAATCAGCTGTGATAGTCTTTTCTACTCATACCCACTCTTGGCAGGTGGGTTAGGGGGACCTGGATCCGCCTTCTCTCACGGGTCCCAGCCCAGGGCCTCCAAGACAGGTTTGAACCGGTTCCTGTCTGGCTGACAGGGACTCCTACCGTAGCTCGTCAGCCCGCAGGCTCCGACAGGGGAACCCCGCCCTGGACTACTTCCTACCTCTGTTATACTAGGAGAACACCAAGCGCCCTCCCCGTAGTCTCCTCTGCGTGCGTGGCCTGAATGTAGAGGCTACCGATGCCCCTCTCGATCGGAGGGTCCAACCTCCCCTTGCTTGCATGCTCGCCTCCTTTTTGTTTCCCCTGCCCTGCTCCTCCTCCCCGCCCCTTCCCCCGTGACGCCATGTCAGCATGCTCCTGGGCCCTGCCTTCTCCTCCCTTATGTCATCAGCGTCGGGGCCATACCCCCCGCCCCGGGGCCATGGGGCCCTGCCAATCAGCTGAGCCGCGGTCCATGAGCAAGCGACACAAGTGGTGGGCCGTGCCCCACGCTCCCCATACAGTGCAGGTGCCGGGGCATCCTGAGTGTGGGGCGGCGGTGCCCTGTCACACCCCTCTTTAAACCGTTCTCAGCTAGCAGCTGGAAACGTGGATGCGGTGGGCATGAGACCCATTAGTATGCTCAGACGCGTGCGTGCACTTCGGAGCTTGCGGACATGCCTGTTGTTTATTGTATGTGTCTTCTAGCCCAGTGGCTTTCAAAGTAGGGGTCATGACCCAGGAATGTCAGGCCCTGGGTCTCCTTGCTGCACAGAGGGATTGGATGGGGAGGGTGCTGGATTCTGGGGGCGGGAAGAGGGAGAGTGCACAGGGCTCTCCGCACTACCCCTGCCCCAAGCACTAGCTTCACCCTCCCATTGGCTGGGAACCTGCTGCCGGCTGCTTCTGGGGCAGCCTGGTCTGTGGTGCCAGGAGAGGCAGGAAGCTGCCTTAGCCCCCTCGCTGCACCGCTGACCGGGAGCCACTGGAGGGAAGCCCCTCCTGCCCCAGCCCTGCCCCCCCCCCCAGGCCAAAGCAGCCTCCTACAGCCCAAATCTCCTCCTCAGCCCCACTCCGGACCCAACACTCCAGTCAAATCATGTTGGGTTGTGGCACGAACAATTTTCTTCAACTCGGTCATGAGGAAAAAAGTTTGAAAACCGCAGCTCTAGACTAATACTCAGCCTTACTTCACCAGGCAGCTTTGCAAATGCCCAGACTAATGTGATCTCACAATACATCTCGCTCATGAAGAGTAAAGTATTTTCCTAGTAATACACAGGGATTTTATAATGATAGGACGGAGTGAAAATTGGAAAACCCCCAAATAAGACTTTTTGTAAAACCTGGGACTTTTTTGTTAAAAATCGGTTTAAACTGAAAACGAAGTGGCTTATGTGTCCACTAGACTTCACTGCCGCTAAAGGTGAAGGGACCTGATCAATACTGCAGTAGCAAGTCATAAAGCTTCTAATGCAGCGATGGGCAACCTAGGCTAGTGAGCTGGCCGCGTGAGCGCCCCTCCTCCTTCTCAGTGGGCTGCAAGATTGTTGTAACCAAGGCGGTCTCCTCGGCTTGGGTAGTGCTGCTCACTGTGCTTATATACTTAGAATTTGCAAGTGTGTGCCTTGAACCATAGCAGCGCTTTGAGGCACTGCCGGTTTTTTCGGCAGAAGATATGCAAATCGTGTTCTCATTTGCATATCTTCTGCAGATCTTTTTTGCGGAAGAGGTGTTGCCACTAAAAAGCCTCGTGTAGACAGGGCCATTTGTCAGGAAAAAACCCCTTTTTTGCAAGATCCTGTAACCCTCATTTTTTGAGGAATAAGGGATCTTGCGCAAAAGGGTTTTTTTTTCCTGACAAATGACGGGGCTTTTTATTGGCAAAAGGGATTGGCAGAAGATATGCAAATGAGAGTGCAATTTGCATATCTGCTGCCAAAAAAACCCGGAAATGTAGACCTAGCCTGAATGTGGAGGGAGTGCATGGCTCTCTCAGTCAGTGTTGCAATCCGCACGCACCTCACTTCACATGCCCTGGCCTTCCCTGCGTGTCACTTTAGTAATGCTGGCAGGGAAACCAGTAGGCACATGGGCAGCAGTAAACAAAATTCTCATGGACCACACGCAGAGGTGAAAGGAAGCGGGTGCTCCGGCAAGAGCGGGCTGAGCTGTGGCGAAAGCCAGCAGGGAGCTGTTGAAAGCTCTGGCAGGGACCCCAGGTTGCGATAGGACTGGACCTGTCAGACATTTTAAGTTACTTTCACACACAGAACCCTGATGGGCCGCATGTGGGCCCTGGGCCACAGGTTACCCACTCCTACTCTAGCGCCTGCTTCCCAGTAACTCACCTGAGAAAAGCAGCCAGAGGGGGAAGAATGAAGTGGCGGCACGGTGCCAGGTCTGGAGCCGCAGCTTGTCAGTGCATCACGATCCTTTGTCTCTCCTGTGCGTTTTCACTGGCAGTGAACTAGTTGAGAAGACTGATCGCGAAGTGCCCATCGCTGTGCTTCCGGAAGCTCTCGCAGTGGGTGATTATTTTGGCTTCTCTGGAGACCCTGGCAGGCAGGACTCACCAGCATGGCTCGAAACATCGTCTTTTTTTAAAAGGGTGACAGAGTCTGAAGCACACGATGCAGCCTCCAAGGAAACGGGACAGCTTTTGCAACCACCATGAGCCACCTGCCCGGCCCTTGCCTGGGGACATTCAGGCTGTGTCTAGACTACATGCCTCTGTCGGCAGAGGCATGTAGATTAGGGTTGTAGGCAAAGGCAAATGAAGCCGCGATTTAAATGATCGCGGCTGCATTTACATTTACACGGCTGCCGCGCTGAGCCGACAAACAGCTGATCAGCTGTTTGTCGGCTCAGCGCGGCAGCCATGTAAATGTAAATGAAGCCGCGATTTAAATGATCGCGGCTGCATTTACATTTACACGGCTGCCGCGCTGAGCCGACAAACAGCTGATCAGCTGTTTGTCGGCTCAGCGCGGCAGCCATGTAAATGTAAATGAAGCCGCGATTTAAATGATCGCGGCTGCATTTACATTTACACGGCTGCCGCGCTGAGCCGACAAACAGCTGATCAGCTGTTTGTCGGCTCAGCGCGGCAGCCGTGTAAATGTAAATGCAGCCGCGATCATTTAAATCGCGGCTTCATTTGCCTTTGCCTACAACCCTAATCTACATGCCTCTGCCGACAGAGGCATGTAGTGTAGACGTCCCCTCAGACAGGCTGCTGTGCTAAGAGGCCGGTGTGCAACTTGCAATCAGGGGCCAGAGAGATGTGCAGGATGTCTGACCTGAAACATGACATGAAGGGGAATGGGAGTCTTTCTGCCTCTAGTTACACGTGTGGAAACAGGCCCATTTTGCCAAAAGTTCACCAGCCACCGCAGATTCTCTCCGCGGCACGAGGGGATCCCCTGGAATGGGGAATGTCTACACTGCAACACTATTCTGAAATAAGGAGTGCTATTCCGAAATAACTTAGGCTACATCTAGACTACAAGGTTCAACTGGAAAAAAATTCAATTTGTGGTACGTACATTGTGTATCTTTTTCTGCTTTATTGTTGAGACTTTTCTGAAATTTGGCATGTCTACATGGTGCCAAAATTCGGAAAAAACTGCTCTTTCGACACATCCCGCATGGCTCAGAGAATGAGGTTTACAGGGATGGCGAAAGAGCGCGTCCGTTCTTTCAAAAAACATTTAGGAGAAATGGACGCGTTCCGTGGATGCGGCATTGCTTTTGGTCTAGACATGGCCTAAGTCTGCAACTACACAGCAGGCAGTTATTTCAAAATAGTGTCAAAATACTGTCAAGCTGGAGGCTTTCTTAATCCGACTCCTGTAACGTTCATTGTACGAGGTCTAAGGGAAGTCGGGGGAAAAGTGCTCTATTTCGAAATAAGTGCTGTGTATACGCTCCCTATTTTGAAATAAGCTATGCAATTGACGTAGCTCAATTTGTATAGCTTATTTCGAGTTAAGCCCTGCAGTGTAGACACTCCCATACTGAGTCTATTTGGGGAGGAAACTAGTCACTTCTCAGCTACTGGTGCCTTTGGAATTCCAGGGCTGACATGGGAATGTTTCTCTTCTTTTCAAAGAGAAACCAATAAACTGCCTATCAGAAGCAAAATGGGTAGGGTATAAAAGATCCTAAGGAGTTGGTGGGTGGTGAGTGGGCGGGCCTCATTTCACTGAAACCTCCCTGGAGCCAGAATGGCCACCACGGAGACAAAGAAGCAGCTGTTTTGGGACGTCACATATTTCACCAGCTGCCGTTTCTGTGCACAGTTCATCTTCGGGAGTCCAACGGGAAACCAGAAACTGCCATCGACTTCTGTGGGAGCCAGTGTATCCACCCAGGGGAAGCAGGTCGTCTTTGTTGGTGTGTGAGTCAGTGCCCAAGTTACCGAGTGGCTGGACATTTTGTGCCATGCTATGTTGGCTCTGTGAGCTCTTGCTTTCCGAGCAGGGGGGCTGAAGGGGGGAGGGGAGGAGGAAGGGGCAAAGGGGGCAGTTCTGGGTCCTGCTGGTAGGCTAGGGGCTGGGCTCTGGAGCAGTCTCAGGAGGCAAAAAAACAGCTAAAAACAAGGTGGGGTGAGTGGTGCCTTTTTGTTTTAGGGAGCAGCCTGCTCTGTGTCTCTCTGTTTTCAGAGTCTTCTGAGTTCTGGAGTCTAAAAAATGAAGTACAGGTGGAACCTCCCAAATCCAGGACTCTCTGGTCCGGCAACATGTTGCTGGACCAAAGAGCCCCGGAGGCTGGGAGCCCGGGCCAGCTGGGAGTCATGCAAGTGCTGGGGAGCCCCAGCTGGGCCGGCATGGGCTGGGCTGCCAGCAGCTGGAGACCCTAGTCCTGGGGAGCCCCAGCCCTGGCTGGGAACCCCCCGCAGAGCAGGGCTGGCGGCAGCCGGGGAGCCTGGTCCCAGCCAGGAACCCCCGGTGAGAGTGGAGTCGGCAGTGGCTGGGGGGACTCCCCGACCGTGGCTGGGATCCTTGGCAAGAGCAGGGTTGGCAGACCCAGTGGCAGCGGGGCCAGTGGCAGCTGGAGAGTCCCAGCCCCGGAAGCCTGACCCCGGGGAGCCTCAGCATCAGGGCAGGGAGTCCAAGCTCTGCGGACCCCCGCAGCCCCAAGAGGACCCCAGGAACAGGCTGGTGGCTAACAGGGGAGCCTTGACCTCCCCAGTCTGGCAAACACTCCGGTTCAGAACTGCTCAGGTCCCCGAGGTGCCAGATCAGAGAGTCCAACCTGTCCTGTTATGTTGCAGCTTTCCAGCACACATCTGATCCTTTCTTTCCGTTTGCCCTTTGTAGGCTCTGAACACGAACGGGGCTCCCGTCTCACAAAGAGCAAGGCCACGAATGGGAGCGGTTCTCTCTCTCGGTCGGGGGGGAGCGGTGACAGCTGACACCTGGCCCGCGTACCTTCTCTGAGCATAAAGAGAGGGTTTCAGTTTCCAGCGCTCTTACTTCAATGCCTTCCACCAGCACTCAGTTCACTTCAAACCCTCAGTGCAGAGAAGCATTTAGTATTGATGGCACGACACAGACTCAATCTTTCCCTTGCAGTCTCATATCACTCACAGGCTGCTATTACTACAGAAGCTTTTGGATTTTAGTGGGCTGTTGCCTCCTTCGGCTTCACTTCCTCCTGCGGGGATATTCTAATTGCTGCAGTAAATTGCTGGAACAGAACACAGCAATTGTCACACAGAAAGAGATCAATGGTCCCTCTATTCCAGTGCTCTGTCTCCCACAGCAGCCAATACTGAAGCAATAAAATCCTTTAATGCACCTAATTGTGCAATGCTATGCCAAGGGGGACATTTCTTCCTGACGCCAGCTGATGATCACCTTATGCCCTGGAACACGAGGAGCGAAAACCCTTCTAATAACTGTCCTCCATAGCGTATCTGCAAAATCTTTTCTGATGCAGGATTTCAAAAATGGAGCCCCACAATTTGCTTAGAAATCAGATGCACAGCAATTGCGACTGAGCCCGCTAATGAAGGAGTGGCAGGAGCTAATGATCTTTAGGTCGCTTTTTGTACCTGCAACTCCCTGACTGTCTTGCGCTATTATAGTAATTGGGCCCTCAACTGTGGAGGGTACACTTTGGCATGGGGGTTCTTTTTCATAGGTGTCTAAAGGTTTAATTTTTTTTTTAAAAAAAGCTTACTTGACTCTTTGCCTTTGTACCGTCTCCCAGCACCAAGCTCAACTAGCTAACTCTTGCATTAAAAATTATTATCCATTACGAATCCGATGAAAAGCCCACTGAAAAGAATGGAAAGCTTCCCGTTGAGTGTTGGGTTGGGCACAATCTCAATGAACAAGATGTCTATTCTATTCTATTCTATTCTACACTGAATGGCAAAAGTCAAATTAAGATACGTAACTTCAGCTACGTCAATTGCGTAGCTGAAGTTGAAATAGCTTAATTCGGTTTTTGGCAGCGTCTACACAGCAGGAAGTCGAAGGAAGAACACTCTTCCTTTGACTTCCCTTACTCCTCGCGAAATGAGGGTTACCACGAGTTGGAGCGAGAAGTCCTCCATTTCAAAATTATTTCAGAATAATGTCAGTTATTCCAAAATAACGCTGCTGTGTAGACGTACCCATATTGTCCTCATCATTGAATATCTGAGCTGCTTCCAGTTCATGTGACTAATGTCTGTCAAGTGTAATTCATTTGCTTTCATCCTCTTTCCCATGTGCCACAGAGGCCTTTGGTTTGGGAGAGGATGTATTGGTGGTGGTGGATTATTCCTTTTAAGTATGTCCATGTTGTTCTGGGTTTCTAGTAAAGAAGGCCAAGCCCTGGTCATGGGAGTGGAATGTAGTCAGGGTTTGTGATAGTCCTGAATTCCAGTAGCAGTTTGGTCTGCCATCTTAGACAGCTATCTCATCTCCTGAGCTATCTCATCACTTTCCTGCAATGACTTCCTGTGTCTGTAGTATGGAAAATGATAACTCAAAGCGCTGACCTGGCTTCTCTACATCTTGCACTTTTCTATATACCTCTGCTGTATCTCCTCCTCCTCATCTTCTTGCCAAAGTAGTAATGTTCCATCTCTTTGGTTGGAAGCTCCCCTTTTCCCTGTTCCTTTCCCATGTTGCTAAGCATTTTTTTTTTCTTTTTGTTAAACCTTTTCCTCTCAGACTATGTCTATACTGCAATGCTATTTGGGGATACCAGAGTATCCCAAAATAGCTATCCCCGTTATTTCAGGCTCGCTATTCCGATGGCCCTGTAAACCTCATTCCATGAGGAGTAAGGGATGTTTAAGAATAGCGGGCTATTTCAAAATTTGATGCTAAATTATGAAATAAGCTATTTCGAAATAAGATATGAAATTTGTGTAGCTCAAATTGCGTATCTTATTTTGAATTCTGGTACAATGTAGATGTTGCCTCAGTGACCATGGGGCAATTTTCAAATGAAGCGTCCACAGGTGAAAGTCATACCACGTGTTTGCAAAAGGGCACTATAATATTTTTCATGTTATTTCCAATCCTCTTCTGAATACAGCCTAACATCTTGAGATCATTAATAAACCTGTCACACAAGAGTGGTCCTAATGCTTGTCTATAAGGCAATCCATACTGGCTTCTTTCCATGCTGAGAACTGGCTCTTTATTCTTGCTCCTGGGTTTCTCTATTAGCTCTTAACGAAGCTTTTTCGCATGACAGGATTTTACCTCTCATCTCATACTTACCAAATTTCCTTAATAGTCTCTGGTGAGGGACATTATCAAAAGCCTTTTTGAGAATATAAATAAATTACACCCTCCGGTTCTCTTTTATCCTCTAGTTTGCAAATACCTTCCGAGAAATCACAGGGGTTGGAGAAACTAGCCGATTTTGTCCGTATCATATTGTTCTCATCAGTAGCAACATTCAGAATCATAATGTGATCACAGTTGATCAAACTACAGGACCCAAAGTAGGCGTATGCAAATACTTCTGCCTCTCTCTTTAGGTAGCTAGGGAGAGATGGTGCCAATGGGTCCATTATTTACTTCAGCAAAGATATTGATGACTTCATAATTCATGACTGGTGGAGCACAGTAGAGTCCTCGGCATGTTACCAGGTGGTCAATAATGAGTGGAAATTAATGCAGTGGAAATTATGCCTTTGGAGTGTGTTCCGTATATACAACCCAGGTTTAGTGTGTCTGCTATTCATGGGGCCGTTTTGCGTGCCAGAACAACACCCATCACAGACTGTAGATGTCCCACCATGCTTCTCCCAAGCTCTTCAGTAGGGGAGGGGAAGAAAGACAGCTTCCAAGGTCCGCTGGCTCGTACAGTAAGTGCATTCCCATCCTGCTACTGCTCTGGGAGGGTGGAGGGGTGGGAGGAGACGTTTCCCATCCTTCTTCCCGCACAGCTGGCTCTAATTATGCTTGTAATGATCAAATGGCATCTCGTTCACATAAAAACCATGCCCTGTTAAATACTTCCTGTGGACACCAATCAGAGCACATCCACTCCCACCCCTGTTGTTTTCTGCTCTAGCTGCCCCTTTTATTGCCTAATAAACAGCCTCGGATGCAGTTTTCCCATCAGCCTGCAAGACGGTGGCATTGCTGACTACAGCCCCCACCCTTGATTTCAGCTGTTGTCCGGAGCAGGTTGTCCTCCCCCTGACCGCTATGCTGCAAGCTTGCGGGGAGAACTATCAGATGAAGCCTGTCTTTGCAGTGGCAAATAGAAGATTTGCTCAGAGGAATCCTCTTCTGGCCTGACTGACCAAGCGATTCCAAGGGGTGACTTTTCTCATCCGCCAGGCTGTAGACGTTTCAGAGATATATCCCCTTTCCCTGCCTTCTCCCCCCTTGGGACTCAGGGCTGACATCACGAACACTTCTTCTTGAGCAGGGGAAATGAATGTCATGCCGGTCTCTGCGTGTGCGCTCAGATTGCAGGGTACATTCAGCGATACTCTTTGGAAGGGGCCAGACTGGGGGGCAGGAGGTCACTGGGGGGCCAGTTGTGTTTCCTGCGCCTGTGACTCCCCTGGTTTGGGGGAAGTTACTGTGGCACAAGCGAGAGGAATGTCAGGCCCAGTGACATCGACAGAGCTGCTCCTGATTTGCACCGTCTATGGTTCTTATCTGACCCCTGGTGCCATGGCAACTCTGGAGTCACCTTTGTGGGAAGGAGAGATTAGCTCCCTGGTACCGTGGGAGCTTACAGCCACGCTGGGCCCCAGGGCAGGAGGGAAGGGCTGGCTCCGTGCTCCCAGAAGGGCGGGGCCAAGAGTGGAAGGGGTGGGGCCAAGAGTGGAAGGGGCAGGGCCAAAGTTGGAAGGGGCAGTGCTAAAGGGGAAAAGAGGTGGGGCTGAAGGCAACCAGCCCTTAGCACTGTTGGGACCGCAGTCCCCCACCGGCTCAGTGCTTCCTGGAGCTCACCGTGAGGTGCCCCTGCCTCCTCAGGCAGCCCGAAGAGCCACACAGAGCACCACCGCGGCACTCCAGTGTCGATTTAAAGGGCTCAGGGGAAATTTCCCCCTTTGCCCTCTTCCCCTCCTCCATCAGCAGGCCTGCCTTGTACAGATGGCGAACTGAGACAGAGAGAGGCCAAGTGGCTCACCCCAGTTCATCCAGGATATAGTGCTGATGCTGGGAACTGCATCTGGGTTGCTGGGCCTGGCAGTAAGCGCTAAATTGCCACATCGTTCTTCACCCCCTTGATTGTTTCCTGAGGTTCTCGTGTTCCCCACAGGGCAAAAGAACTGAGCCTTCCTTCATACAACCAGCTGTCCTCACATCAAACTCTAGTTTGGGCAAAGGCTACCATCTGAATGCTGCTCCTGGTGGCTCTGGTTTGTGCTCCCTCAAATTACGTGAATGAAGAAAGTTCCACCTTCTCAGGGCATGTCTCCACTATGGGGGTACCTCAAAATTAGTCTGAGGTAGGCTACGTTAATGAGGACATGCTACCTCAGACTTAGAACCCCAGGAAGCACCAGGGAATAATTACTTCAAATTACTCTGGGGAGTAGTTATTTCGAAATAGCGATACCGGCGCATCCACACTACTGTCATTTCAAAATAACTATTTTGAAATAAGCGTGACTCCCCGAGGAAAGCAGGAGTACAGATTTCGAAATAACCAGCCCGTAATTTCGAAATAACGGGTGTGGTAGTGTGGATGCTCCACTTCTTATTTCAAAATAAGGGGTGTTATTTCAAAATAATTCCCTAGTGTAGACAAGGGCGTAAAGAGCACGTTGGCCCTTGCTCTTCATAGTCTTGCCTAGCCATTTCCATGTGGTGCCATCGCCTGGCAACATCGTGCCACCGTGCATTGTTATGAGATCACACTACATTTACTGAAATGCTCTTTTTTTGAGACGTTTTTATCCATTTCTTTCTTTCTTTTCCTTTTTTTTTACATTTGTAAAAGTGCCCCTCCAGGGCTCTGTTCTTGCTTCTCAAAACTGGGGGGAAACAGGAGGACCAGAACCTCAATTAACTGTTTAAACGCATAGAGAAGACCATGTTGCAACAAACTGTCCTTGTGCTCTACCGAGCAAGGGTAACATGGTAAGACCTGGCATTCTTTCTATCTAGGTATTTCTATAGTCCCCACCCTTGCAGTATCTTTAGAAAATCCTCACGACACCCATGCAAGAGTGGGAAGCATTGTCGCCCCATTGCACAGCTGGTGAACTGTGGCAGAGACAGCAAAAGTGGCTTGCCTAGGGAAACTATTGCAGAGGCAGGAACTGAATCTACATCTCCCGAGTTCCAGTCCAGATTCTGAGCCATAAGGCCAACCCTCCTTTAGCGCCACGTACAGCACTGTGCAATCGGCCAGGTGCATTACGGGTTAGTCCCTCCTCTACCTTTATCTGAAGCATGAGGGGTTTGAGTTGATGTCTTGCTCCCTCCTTACCTTAAGGTTTTCCATCATGATAACATGGAAAATACGTCTCAAGTTCACAGGTCTGCATAGAAATGGGGATTAGACAATAGGATGGATCACTTGAAATTATCTTGTCCTGTTCATTCCCTGGGAAACATCTGGCACTGGCTACCAGCAGAGACAGGAAAGGGGCTAGATGGACCACTGGTCTGACCCGGAGGGACAGTTTTTACGTTCATAGCAAGATCCCTCGGTGAGCTCACAATGATCTGTTCTCCCTTTCCTAAGTGCAGCCAAGGCAACAAGGGCTTTTGTCTGCACACCCCGCCCCCCTGCTGCCATCCATTGCCAGGAGCAAGCTAGATTCAGATGTCACTTACGATT